AATTTCTTTGGCGGGAAACAATTTCACGAACCAGGCAAGGTACATAGCTGAAACTTTGCAGGGATATTTTCTATGCACATGCAAGCTAAAGATTCTAAACTCAGCTGTCGCGCACGCGTGTGAAGCGCGTACGACCACGTCAAAGTTTTCGACTTGATACTATGCTAACTCGAACACTGGCTGGAAAACAGTGGCTGAAATTTTGTCTGGATGTTTGATTCCCGGTAGGAAATAGTATACCTAAAATGAGTACCGATTTGCACTTGCGTCGCAACTTAGGGCATTTCAAAGATATTTGTAGCGAAGTGGATACTTCGCTTACCGGATAAGCTGCGAGGCTGAAAATTCGCTGGAATATTCTACTCTCATGTACAGTCTTAATTCCAATTGGAGGTAGAATTCCCTGCAGGTAAGCGTGAAAAATACTCGACTTTATCGAGAAATCAGAAACGAGTGTGTTTTGCAGTGAACGATCGCCCTCACCCAAATGTGTAAATTAGTTCATTTGCGTACTCGGATTTTTTCACAAACAACCACTCGAGCAATACTTCCACTTTCTAGTGGACTAGAAATTTGCATTTTTTCATAAAACTTGCATTTTCAATTTTTCAAAAAGCTAGCAATTGCCGAAAAAACGACCGAGCTTCATGTAAAAAACTGGTAATCATGTTCCTCGTGGCCCATGCGGCACTATAATGCAATGTATTCATCCCAACTTACGTCCTTTCTCCTGCATGCCGGAAGAGGTCAAAGCACAGTGTATCTAGAAATACAACAGTAGCATATCGCAGGCTGTTTCTGCTGTGTCAAATGCATGCAATAATCGTAGGCACCAGAAGTGGGAGAAAAGCTAGAAAAGCTAACCTCCGCGTCCCGCTCTCGCGACTTGCACTATGTTTTACCGCACCACGTCCAACAGCACTCTTCACAACGAAGACCCTGTTCAAGCCGAACAAACGAATACAACCGCACAGGCGTGCACAGCAAACGTAAATGTGACCAAGTGGAGGAAACGCAGTGATCGACTGAGCACTGCTCTACAGTAAGCCGCCATGCATGCATGCATCATCATCCATCAATCGTTTCATGCATACTCTGCATAAGTCGGGATGTTCCCCGGCATTTTGAATGCCGGGAATTTATCGCATGTACAACTGCGTGTATGCATTAAGCTCATAAACCTCTTACACGCAGCTGACTTTTTTTAAATTAATCTAAACTAAGAATTCGGGCATTGCTGTATGTAGCGCTGTCCAGAGTTACGTCACTTTCCGGGCTGTACATAATTGGCACAATCACCATATCTCGCCAGCCGCATCCAAATGATCCATTGCGAGTTGAACCGAGGCGACAGGAACACTGCTTACTTCAGCCCCACTTCAAATTTCTCCGAACAGAACGCTCCGCTGTCCAGATTGTATATCACAATATACAGAGCTTTGCAAAGCACCGCAGCCAGATGGAGAATGACACCGTCTGCACAGCAAGCGACGTAGTACTCCTCGGAGAGACTAAGGCAATGCCCGCAGATGAAATTAACATCAGCGATTACAAGACGGTTGCACGTGTTGACTGCACGGGATCGGCGAGAAGAGCCTGCTGAGTATGCTGCTTGGTATCGCAGCGACTGCTGAGTGACGTCCATGACCCAGCCTCCACAAGAATTGGAGAAAATGAGGATCGGGTAAATGCATCCGTTTTAAAACTATGCAATGTGCTCATTGCAGGAGCATACGCAAGTCCCGGAGTAACAGTCGGCACCATTCGGTCGTTTCTACCGAAATGTTCTGCGGAAGAGGGACGGGAACTAATGCTGAGTGATTTTAATCACAACATTACTGTAACAGCAAATCTCCTTTTTAAGGAAACAGTGGGAGAATTTGGGCTAAATTAGAAATTTCAACATAAGCCACGGCACATACGTCTCCCTGGCTAGTTTCCATGAGTCCATCTGGGCCAGACATGACGTACAAAATGATTAAATTATAGATTTGCTTTACCGCGACAGCAGCAAAACAGCGATCACAACCGGCAGTCAAGATCGGATTCTCACGATTCGTAGCGGAAGAACATAATTACTCACTGGGCAACCGCTACACGTACTCGTCACGTCAAATGAAGCCATCTTTATGATAATTTGAATTTGCAATGGCCAGTAACGCAGATAATGCGCATGT